TGACGGCCAAAGGGATGCGAAAATCGCATCAAAAGTTTTTGGATTACCTGTCGCCAGAGAGCAACGGAATAAATTCATGCACAAAGCGTGACAAAAGAGAGCTTTCCCTCGTTTTGTCAGCCACAAGAGCAGATTTATTACCGCCGGCGTAAAAGGGGCCGAGAGTGTATAAACACATACTGACAAAAGTTTTCTGTGTGTTGCGCAAAGTTCTCCAGTGGAAAACAACGAAGCGAGACAGAGAAAAGAATAAAGTACTTTTGTGTATGGCAAGGGATGAGAGAGCCGGGGAGCACGAGAGGGAAGATAAGCGGCGGCAAAGTGGATTACCCGTCGCACCTTATCTCACTGAACGAAATGCACTGCCGCCGGACGCTCAATTTATTTAATTCCTCCCTTCAATGAGGCTCAGCCGGCTGATCGTCTCGCTGACAAATGATCTTGATTGGGGCTGAATTATATTTGGCATTGTTTTGCGAAAGGGTCGGTATTCAAATTTCGCTTTTATTCATCTCCAGGTCTGTGGAGCAGCCCTTGTCATTATTATTATTTTTTTTTTTTGCATTTATGAGCACGACGACCCAGCATGTTCTGGGCGTGTTTGATTGCGCGCCGCTTTTTTATTACGCAACCGCCCCCACACCCGCCAAACACTTGTAAAGGGGCTGAGAACGGAGCCCGCAAAAAATATATAGCGCGTGCCGTTGAATTTTCATTCCACGTCTGAAATGACGACGGAAAATATAAGGGGTCGTATCAAAGCTGATCAAATGTTTACTTTCCGCTTCATTGACTGCAATAGCAAAACCTGTTTAAATCGATTAAAACCAGCAAAATGTTTCAGTTATAATAATTTGATAACAGGATTATTATTAAATAAATGACCATTAAAAAAGGGAATTAAAGCCCCAGTCACATCACCGCACATCACCATGCCAAATTTGAATTGCAAGTATTCTCAAGAATTTTGGGATAATTTTACTATTGGAAAATTTCTGAAATAAAACCATTGTTCGATTATTTCTCATCAACAAAAACATCAAGACATTACCGAAATAACTATACTTTAAGTTTTTAACTAATTTTATACTGCTTAAGTTGCAATTCTTAAGAGGAAACTTTGCAACAAAATGACTTTCCGCCTAGCATGAATTGTTGCTTTGAGCAGCAGGGAAATTAAATTGCTGGCAATGGCCGACTTCAAAGCCGCAGAGTCAAAGAAATAAACATGGCTGCTCGTACGCTGCACTTTTCGCTCCATTCTGCGGCACTCAAATTGCTAATGAAATAATGCGCCACGCAGCAGGATTCACCCCTTGTGATTCAAATTCCGTCGCGTTTTTCTTTCTCAAGCCCCAGCGAAATGAATCTCGTTTTCGGTTTACTTTGAGCAGCTTATATTATGTACTTCGGCGGCGCACAGGGAGTGAGAGTAGAAGACACTCGACTCGCACAAACACAACTCAAGTTGCATTTATTTCCCATACAAAGGGGATCGCTATGCACTCCTGGCGAATCTGCTGCGGGGGTTGAACATTCGTCTCGGCCTGTCTGTTTGCGTTATTCGCAGTCATTGACAAATTGGGGCTGTTTCGAATGAAGCTGCGCGCGGAGGATCCTTTATAAATAAAGCGATCCGCCTAGATATGGACGTTTTGACAAACCGATTGTGCCCCCGGAGAACGCGTGTTCCGTGCAGTCCCTCTTGTCTTTTGCGTGACGGATGGAAGGGGTGTCAAATGAGTTCATTCAAAAGGTTTGTCAAGAGACACAACGCGTGCATATATGATGGGGTTATTTTTGCGCAAGGGAGCGAAAGAGAAATTGCTTTCCTACTGTTTTGAGTATTCAGCTCTGGATGAACTAAATTTGCATCACAAACGTGGAGATTTCAAATGAAAAGAGGTTATCAAAATTCAAAGCATTCATTTCTACACAACACTTAAATGCTTAAAATTCTTTCCAGAGATGCTTGAAAACTATCGTTCACTTAAAATAAAATTTGAAAAATTTCATAATATTACTTAAAAAATATTAATTAAAAATTTTGGGAGAGTTTTTATGGTTTTATATATATTTAAGATTAAAATAAACATTCCTGGAACTGGTTAAGAGATTTTTGTCCAATATTTAGCCTTATTTCTCAAATTTCTTAAGCGATTGAGGTTTCAAATAGATGCTTTTTTTAATTCCTCTATGTTAAAATTTTTTAAGTTTTAAATCAGTACAAAATCGTTAAAAAAATAACAACTAAAAAATAATTATTTATATTGGATTAAAATATGAACCAACGATAAGAATTTTTAAAGTTTTTCTTCATTTTAATCAATTGTAATGCTTCAACCGTTTCGGCGTTTTTTCACAACTAATCGTTTTCCGTTCCAGCAATTAATATTATTATTGTTTTTAATTAAACCGAAAAAAGGCGAGATCATTTCACTTTTGTTTTCAGTTTGCATTTCCAGACGCATCCGCAACCATCAACAATCGAAACCCAACCCGTCGTCTAGAACTAATTCGCCAATGCGAAATGAAAAGATTCGCCCGCGTGTTCTTCCTGGCAAACAATCGGCGCGCAAACAATCGCGTGCTTCTCTTTGCCGCGATCTCCAGCCGCGCGACTTCCAGCAGGGCCGAGGTATCTTTTCGCGTGCTGTGTGTCCCGCCGCGTGCAAATCAAAAGCCGCCGGACAAATTGATCTCGGAGAGCAAAACACAAACAGTACAAAAGTGAGTCATGCTCTGTGATAGACGCCGGGGCGGGCAGGGGGTGGAGGGGTGGTCGCCATGGCGACCCTCGGCACCCTCGACGCTTTTCACGCCCGCGCCACCCCAGCCTGCCGCGGAAAGAAAGGGATGATACTACTTTTATGAGGAGTCGCTTTTTGTGTCTCTTCTTCTCCGGCAAGGCCATCATCTTTTATGGAAAAACAAAATAAAAGACACCGGGGCTCTCCTCACGCTCGAGAGCGGCCTGGCCTGGCCAAATTTATTGCACGTCGAAAACAAACGATGCTGCCGGCGGAAATTGATAAATTTTTATTCATGCGATGTTTTTTGCACCCTTCCCGGGATACATAAAAAATGTGTCTCATGTCGCAAATAAGGTCTAGAAAATGTGCAAATTATTGTTGTCAAAGGTTATTTTTCGGAAACAAGGCCACCGCAAGAAATATAAGCGCAGATTGGCCAATGAAAAAATGGATACGTTCCGTGCCGACATAGAGAAAAATAACTCGTCGCGATTTAAAAAATTAAATCTTTCGTAACCAATAAAACCTTCATATTTTTCAGTTCAACATTGAAAGATGATGAACTGAAATTGGTGAATTAAATTTTTATATTAGAAACACTCTTCACGGATATTGGTGTTTTTTTTTTAGCTGCAATTTGTTATTAAATATGATATTAAATATGATATTTAGAACAGTAATTTTTTGTTTCTTTTAATGCTTTTAATATAATCTTTCGTAGAAAAATGTGGCCAATTGAACTTTCTTTCTTTCTATTCTGTATTTTGACTCAATGGTTTAAGATTTTATTTTATTTAACTGCGGAACACTCTAACTGTAAGTAAAATTGATAAATTATATATAATAGAAATTTGCTAAAAACTTTCAAGCAGCAATTGACGTAAAATTAAATGTTAATTATAAATGTTTCTCTTTCTAGAGAAACTTATTGAATTTTCTCCAAATGAGATTTTATTCAAACAGTAAAAATGACGCTATTTATTGATATTATTTATACCTGAAATTGAATTAATGTGATGAATAATTTCACTGCAGTAATAATCAAAAGTGGGGAATGTTGATCAACGACAGCTGCAGCTTATTAATTTTTCATGAGTCCAATCGTTAAAGTCACTGGCAGTAAAATTCAATTGGGGTTTTATTGACAACGCGGTTTTGTCTCTCTCGGCAGTAAAAACAATGCCCGTAGTTTTGTACAGTTTGACATGAGAATCGCATGCGTGTGTAATGCTGCTCTCATTATACATTACAACGTGTGCAGCCCGCCTTAATTACTCCGCCCGCGATTATCGCCGTTGCGTGTCTTCGTCTGATATTTATATTCTTACAGGGCTTGAAAAAAAAAGAAGAATCGATCTCGGGAATGTCTTTACCCTCTTACAAACGTTGAATGCGTTTTAATTTTATGCGTAAGTTTCCGTGTGAAGAAATTTTAGGCAATGCCAAAATTCGACTGGCGGGTGGGTGAGGTCATTATCGTCTGCAGCACGACCGGCAGCAAAACAGTGGTGTTGATTTTTATATTTATTCACGGATACATATACAGTAAGATTCCAAAAATATTTTCAAAGTGAGTTGTAAGACTTATAAGAACTAAATAAAATGCATTTTACATATAAACAAAAATAAATTATTAAATAATTATTTTGTAAATAAATTAAAAAAAAATCAAATTAATTATTACAAAATGATTATACAATAATTATAGAATAGTTAAAATTTTGGATATTGGTTTTTCTTTAATTTCATAAAAATTTATTTAAAATAAAATATATTTTATAATTAATATAATTAAACTGTTTCATAAGTTAGGTAAAGAAACCCCAAGTTAAAAATTTTTCAAAATTGTTAAGATGGCGTTTTTCCGTCTTAATTTTGTTCTGGGCGTTTCCCATGATTTTTCCTCAAATTTCCTTTTCAGAAACTTCAACGCACGTAGCACCCCAATCCATTTCTCCTTCTTGCTAATTAATGTAATGTTAAAATCTCCACCTTCTCGTGACGAATTAAACAATAAAAAATGCCTGACAACCGCGAAGAGATACTTGGAAAACTTTGCCGACAATAATGGTATCGGCCGAGCGAACCTTTTCCTTAACGAAACCTTCCGACGGCCGTCGCGAGCTCGGCGGCGGTTCTCGAAATCACCTGTCGTCCGCAGGTGGGTGCCCCTTTTTTCCCGATAAAAGTCTACTTTTCACTCGCGACACAAGTTTCCCTGCTTGCTAAATGGTATTTCAAACTCACCTCGTTCGTCCTCAATGTCCGACGAAAGGGTTAATCCACGAGTGCAGCCGGTTTTCGCGACAAATCAAGCAGAATCGGCACGCTCACAATGCCCTCACGCAGCTCCCGCTATCAACTGAACTGAAAAACAAGCTGTCGCGTCTCGCTCGTCTCCCCCATGCGCGTACATTTCGCCTTTCGCCGAACTTTTTCAGCCGTAGATTCGAATGGGGGCGAAAGCAGCCTGAGAAGTGAGAAAACCGCGAATTTGTCAGCAAGTTTGAAAGTTCAAAGAGTAATACACACATTACCTTGGCACTAACAATAAGCATAATCTAATTGTAAATTAAATTTTATTTTAGATCTCATATTTTATAATTTTTAAATTTGCTCAAAAATTTATCGAGTACCTGCAACATCATCATTTTTGTAAAAATATTTTTTTTAATCAGTGGGTTAAAATTTTGGGAGTAAATAAAAAGTAATTCAATCAATATGCATGTGTTTAATTTAGACATACGCCTCATAACCCATTCGTCTCATCCACAATGATATCAGATAAATTGTAAGTAATATTACTGGGTATTTTAATTTTTCATCACTATTTAGTTAAGAGAACAATATCATTTCCTCTAGAGGTGAGAAGTATAGTTTGCTTTCTGCAGACACCAGCACAAGCCTGCAGGAGCGGTTTCGCAACTCACGAAGTATCCCTTATCAGCCTATATTAACCATGCATAATTACAATAATGAGTTTTGCTTTGCTTCCCTTTAATACAGTTACGCCTCTCAACAATGGTAGTTCATAAATACATCTATACAACTTTTTGTTTGTAAGATTACAAATATATATTCAATCCTGGAATACATAAAAAACAATGGCGGAATATTGCATTTAATATCGGACACTGTTATTTTTTTTTCTTTTCAAAAAAATAAATTACAGAATACAAAAGTGAACAAAGGGTGCAAGTTTTCGTTTCAGTAGTACACAAGCATGAGTTTATGTGCATAATAAATCCTAACAGAGAAAATCGATACAAAAATATTTGAGCAACGGAACCAATTTCACTTATTAAAAAAATACTTGCAAGAGAAGGTAATATCACAGAGTCCGACTGCGACAAAGAGGAAAATCATCTAAGGTGAAGGAAACTGGAAATTTGACAATTTCAGATGTCAACTTGTTCTCTGGCAATTTTGCCTTTTGAAATTTTTGGTTTCATAGACTTTTTCAAAGAGAGGAACTAATTATCAAACCTTTCTTCCGTAGCCCAAAAACAGTGATCAGGAAAGCTTCAAGCACCAAGATCTGATTCGCTCATTGATATATATTATTATGTAATTTTTTAAAGTTTCGTAACGCACTGCTCGCACTTTATGCAAAAAATTAAATATTTTCTGTAAAAATGGCACTCGATATGAGAGGAGATCCAATTAATATCAGCTCCTGAAGGCAATTTCCTTGCTCAAGAGATAAAGGCCAAATAGGAGCTGCCACGTTTCCTCATCATGTGCAGAAGAAGATAGAAAAAGACAGAGAGAGCCAAACAATAACAAGCCAGCTTCTCATCTGGCCGATTAAAAAGAACATTGTATTTTAACGTCCGCCAGATTTGGAATGTGCAATGAGCCACTGAAGGGTTATGTCGATGTTGTCTTTCTCCTTGCATGATATTGAGTAGCAGCAAATTTCTCGGTCTTGAATTGCAGATAGATTCCTGCAAAGATGGAAAATATTAATGAAAAAATATCAAAGTTTGTTTATCGTTAAACAAGAATTGCATCATTTCATTTTGAAAAAAAAAATATACATTATTACTTACATTCTCTCAATTAGTCCATTCTCATCAAGTGCGTGTGGCAAGTCTCTCTTGTTGCCAAGTACAAGAACTGGAATTCCTGCCAGCTGAGGCTTGTCTAGCAAATTGTGCAGCTCATTTCTTGATGCTTCGATCTTTTCCGAATCTGCTGCATCAACCATATATCTATAAAGGAAAAAAATTTTAATGCACAGATCTGCACTTCTACATGCAATGCTTAAATACTATTATTTTTGAAAGATATAGGAAAAAATCTATAATAAAAAAAAAATTTAGCCAAAATCATTTCCTTAATTAAAAAAAATCGAATTATTACAAAAATCAAACAACAATTGGTATATGACGTCTTGGTCACACTGTGGAATTGAAATTTTCCTGCATTATTATAAATAAAAATTTTTAAGCAGTAAAATTTTAAAATTCAACTTTAGGCCACAACTTTAGGAAAACAAAATATGTTTTCCTAAAATGGCCCAAAGTGCCAAAGTCCTTACACAATAGCATTGACTCCTCTGCAGTAACGTTCCCACATAGATCTGAAGCGCGGTTGTCCACCAATGTCCCAAACTTTGATGGTGACGTTGCCTTTGGTGATTTTACGCATGTTAAAACCGACAGTTGGAATCATGTCTTCGCTGAACTGGCCAGACTAAAACAACAGAGAATAATGTTAAACTGAGGACAAAGAAAAGTGTAGCTAAATTAATTACAGCAATCACGTTGACAAACGTTGTTTTTCCGGAGTATTGCAATCCCACAAGGGTCAGTTCCATTTCTTCTTTCCAAAAGAGACTTTTGAACCAGTCTAGAATCCGGTTGATAATGGCAATCATCTTCAAAAACTGTACGAGTCCTTATTCAAGAATTTTCAGAATGGGAGTGACCAGCCAGGGCCCTCCTCAAAGTCGAGCGCTCGCTGCCCCCTAGAACTTGTAAATTAACCCCGAAGTCTGGGCTGTCGGACGGGCCACTCGCGGCTTAGGACCCTGGAACTTTCACAGCCACTTTTGGAGAACCGAACGCACACCAAAGGTTTGCAGTAGAAACTGTCAAAATTCAAGACCGCTGTTGTCCCGAGTTTTCCGAAGTCAGGCGGATCAGATGACTCACGTGCACAGTCGTACCAACATGAAAATATACTCTTGGTGTTTGAACACATTCTTGTTTCGTTTTTCACATAAGTTTAATAAAAATCATCGAAAAAATTTTAACCTTATTTTGATACTTTGTTTCTGCTGTACTTAATGAATATTAAACTAAAAAATCTGAAAATAAAATATTCCAATTATGTTGGCAAAATGAAAACATTCTAATCTTTATTGAAACTTCATTGCGGGGTCAAATCCTGAGGGCGGCAATGCCTATTTTCTTTTAATTTGTAGGTTATAAGTGGTTATAAGTTTATTTGATTTGGCACTTTGTATAAGGTTATGTTAGTTTTTGATAAATAATGTATTACAATAACTTTTGAACTTGAAATTCTCAAATTCACTCACACCGTATGTGAGTAAATGATTATATTTGGGTGAAAAATAATAGCAAAAATAAAAAAATCTCATGAATTAAGACCACACATGTAAACGTCTGCTTTATTTACATTTCTTACCCATTATGCATCATAGCAAAAAATAAATAGAATAATTATCAGCGTGCTCAAATTTTGCAGCTCATTTCATTTAGAAAATATACTTCATGTGTTTTTTTTTAAGAGTAAAAGGTATGGCAAATTTTGCGTTGCAAATCAATTGAAGTGTTGATGTAAATCTAGTTCTTTTGGTCTTTAACAGAATCCTAACTAGCAAGGAATGTGTGTAATTTTAAATTATGCATCAATAATTTAAAATAATTGTGATCACAGAACAAACAAGTTTGCTCTTATCTGGCCAAAATCAATATACTATGAAATGGTTAAGTAGATGCAATTCGGCTAGCAACATGTCATTTTAAATACAGAGATTTATTGATTGAATGATGGAGTACACTATTAATGGAGACGGAGTGGCCAACACTAAAATGTACATGACATTATAGTTGATCTTTGTCTTCTTGCTATATAAACTGTTTTCCTTGTATTACTTAAGTGTGTATATTGTGCGTCCTAATTTTACTTATTTGCATCTTTATCTCAGGAAACAAGAGACTTTTAGAATTTAAATTGTATTAATTTGTGCATCAACATCAATAGACAATATATACTCTATTTCCATTACAATTAAAAATTGCACAGAAAATGATGGCAGTAAAAACAAGTAACATTATATGGCTGCTTTCCTCTTTCAATTTTTGGATCTATTATTTGTACAAAAGTGCCAAGGAGATCAAAGCTTTGTTTTTTCTTCAGCTCCAATTTTGCTGATATACAAGGAATCTTTTAAGATGTACAAGTGGAGAATGCAAGCCAAACTAATGCGAAAATTTAACAAAGGTTTTTGGCACTCCTTACAAAGCTTTCCTCTAGACATTAAAAATAAACACGTAAGTGGTTCGCGTCTCCTTTTATATAATATAAAAATGCAGTTTGATAGAACTTAAATTCACAATTTGCAATAAATTGCCTGCAACACTTTCTAATGTAAAAAAGTTATTTACCTTGATATTAACACATGAAGCCATTCAACAGTAAATATAATCATGAACAATAATCACGGATCCTGCCTGATTATCATTTGCTGTACATTTTCTTTTTGAAACCAACGTCAATGACTCTCGTTCCTTAAGCACTCTCGGACAGGTGAGAGAGAAATATGGCACAATTAACAAACTCCTTTCTTTCTTTAATTCTTACTGTCATTTATCAAAGAAGGTCCATCTTTTGACACAGCAAAGAGTTTCAAATTAAATATTTACTGCATTGTTAGCCGCTCAAAGGATAATCAGAAGCAGATTGTGTATTTGCACATTCTGTTGATTAAATTATAACAAGTATTATAAAAAAAAATGGCAGTTGATTTACAATTATGGAAAAAAGAGTAGGAAAATGAACGTGTCCACTGAGCTGTTCACTTGACTGCATGCCAGTGATATAATATAAAGTAAATTGTGTCAAAAACAAATGCCAGTGCCATGCACTTGGCTTGCCTTTTCTATAACGTTGAATTTTACATAGCAGAAACGGTCGGATTCTAATTGCATTTCTTTTCAGAATAAATGCATCAAGTCTAAGCAACTATCGTCAAGAGTAATTCAACTCTAATTAATATTTTGACCACCAAGTGTTTTCATTTTCAGCACACACAAAGACATTAATGAGAGCTGTTTCAAATATGGGAATTTCTATTCCGTCTCTTCCCAATAATTTAAAATCCAACTTTTTTGGAACTGCATGGAGCTAAATTTGAGATATATAAAAGCATTGTACATAAATATATTTTGATCTACTTTGCACTTACAAAGATGTCATTTAGCAATTATGCAACATAAAGAGAAGTTCCATCAGATTTGATAAAAAATTAGAGCATTTAAGAAAAAATTAGAGAGTCCATTCGTCAATCCAATTTTGTCCGACCGTTCTGCAGTATGCCAGGAACAAGAGTAATAACAAGGAGAGACCACAAAGATAACACATGGAAGAGAATGTGTCCTTTCTAAAAACACCAAAAGTGTCTATCAAATCAGTCACTACTACTCGTTGGCTGTTGAGGCCCAGCGGTCGAACTCTATGCCGCTGTCTGGACTGGCGCCGGTGGGCAGCAGCGGTGACAGGAACTGCGAGTTCTGTGGCTGGCAAGTGCAGTCTGGGCGTCCGCATGGGCAACGCCGTGTCATGGGCCCTTGGCCGCGCAGAGCAGCCACCTCGGGCGGCTGTATGGACAGCAGGGGTGTGTGCGCTGGAGCGAACTCGCCTCGGAGTCGCAGCTCTTGCTCAAAAGAATGCAGCTGCTCCATGAAGTTGAAGTTGGGTGCAATGTTGGATTTGCGGTTGCGAACCACGTTGAATGCATCGTTCAGTGACAAGTGCATCTTGTACATGAGGTAAGCGACGGTGATGGTAACTGAGCGAGAAACGCCAGCTAGGCAGTGTACCAGCACACCTTTCTGGCTGTTGCGGGCTTCGTCTGAAAAACAAAACAATCTTATAGCACCAGCTCAAACATTCAATCACATTAAAACTAATATATGTCTACTTTCATTCTAAGTTGAAAAGAAATTTGTAGTCTAGAATTAAAATTTTGCATAAGAGGATAATTGCCATAGTGGGCAAGAGCGCAGCTTTTATGTGACTCAAGCGCGAGCGCCAGTGCAATTTTATTAAGAAAAGATAAATTTTGTAAAGCTCTTTGGCGCTTGTATTGTGCTTTTTGTTTTTTATTTTAATCAAGAATTTAGAAACTAAATTTAAGATAATCCAAGGAATTTAAGAAATTTTCTTCTTCTATCCAGGTGAATTATTATAAATTATATATTTCGAGTGAATTTGGAAAAATTTAAAAATGAGTGCGAGCGCTGCCCACTATGATAAATGCTTTTAGAATTTTGAATCTTTTTTACTTTTTGCATTTCAATATTGAACTTGTGTAAGGTAGTTTGAATTTTTATATTTTGAATGTTTATAGAATTAAAATATGAAATTAAGCAAAATTTACTGTAATTATGATTTTTAAAAGTTAAACTACATTAGAACTTCATTATTATATTAATGGGACATCAAAGTGAAAAAGTAAAACTCTTTCAAAGTCAATTTGGCATTACTTCAAAATTTAAGCTTTAAAAATGTTGTCTGATGACAATTACTGAGCTGTCAAGAATATGGGTTTAAGTAATGCTTAATGCAGGGAAACAGAGGAGAATATAATACAACATTTCCTCCCTGAATGAAACTTAATGCATACTTTACAAACTGAAAGCATTCACAATTTTAACAATACATGGAAGTAAAAATTAAGTATTTTTTTGGAACACGGATTAATTAAATTAAAAAGTACCTCTCTGTTGTGATTACATTTGAATAGCTGATTACGTAAAGTCGTAAAATACTTTATTCATTACATAATATATTCATTCGGGGATCAATTTCTGGATGGACACGCTAAAGAAACTAAATCAAGGCTGCGAGTGTCGCTCTTGTTCCACAAAAACGTTATCAGGCATTAATGAATTAATAATGAAATGCGAGGCAGCACCCACGCGATCAGACAAGCGGAATATCGTCGATTTTGGCGGCTATTTCTGCTCGCAGGCAGGTACAATTCCATTCATGTGAAATGGCAGCAGGGCACGGGCGTCTGCGCACCCATTGCAGGGCTTTCCACCCACGCAGCCCGACCGACATCCACGGTCGTCCTCCCACGCACCGCGCTACTTTCCTCCCTTGAAGTGGGGCGCCCACGCAGAACGCCTTTCCAGCGAATGCCGTCGCGCCAGCAATGGATTGCTTTCATCAATTCAAGAGTTCGCGTGCAACGCGTTAGCTCAATCCGATTAATGGGGAGCGAGAAACGTGAAATAAGTTATTTCCAGCCGCCTGACGAGAGTTCAAGTGACGAGCGTCCGACGAGAAAACAATACCGATTTTTTTTTTGGCATGATTTATTTACAGCGTGCCTCTTTTGGGTCCGCTGTTTTGCGCAACTGATTTTGATTAAATTTGAATTAGCGACGGCGGACAAAGACTTTCAACAATAATTATTGCTCGATGATTCAAGTCATGAATAATGTACGCGGCGGAAGTGCGTGTTTGAATGTTTACGTCGCCGAGCCAATGCTTTGTTTGACGTCTGGTTTCGAAAGCGAGGGAGATGTGCGGTGCCTAATAAATGAAAACGATGCGCCGTCATAGGAACGGAGGAAATTTTTTGCGGCATGGCTTTTAGCGGTGGTTGCCGAGAGAGTAAAGAGGGCCGCCGGATGCGTGGTCATTAGCGGCGCCCGCCCATCAGTGGGTGGGTGGGTGCGGTCGAGAATTGACAGCAACGGACAAAACCAAGCGTTAGGTCCAAATTCAAACTGAAAATCTTGGATAAAGCAGCGATAGAAACGTGTGGATTGTGCATTCGCATATACTTGGACCTAAAGAAAAGGGAGAGATGAGTTTAAAAGCAACTGGGAAAGTTTATAGAAGCAGTAAAAACTTTAGTGGCTTCGTGCCAAAAATGTATATCTGCGAAGTTTTTGCACAAGGCGGATCTCTTGATGGTCGGCAGCAGAATTCGCGCACAGGAAACGCGTCTTCCTCACTTATAAATTTCGGCGTTGTTTACAGTGCTGCCTTGTTAGCTCCACTGTCTGTCAAGGTCAATGCTGCGCCAACTTATTGTTTGCGATTTTAAAGGGAAAAAATTAGATCCCTCGTAAATTATTTAGAATGTTCAGTTATAGGATCAAAATAGATTTAAAGATTAATTCTCCATTTAAATATTTAATATTTATCGCAGAATGTTTTTAGTTCAAGGAATGCAAATTTATATTATTTAAATTTGCAATGCTTTGTCTAAATGGGGGAAACGATCAAGGTTGAGTGAATGTTCAATTAAGGTAGGATTCATCCAATATTGTTGCTTGACGCGGGGGTGGAGGGTGTATAAATATTGACTTGGCTGAATGGCCGTGAGGGTGGACGGATGGGAAAATGGGCAGGACGCCCAAGAGCAGCGCACCTCGCGGAGGACACGCTAACCTGATGGGTTCATTCAGCTCACTGCCGAGTTGGGGGTGCGCAGGTGGCAGTGGGGGTTCGGCCTCCCGCCTCCGGTTCTCCGATCAATACTGGAAGTGCTGCCTTTCCCAATGCTAAAATCCTACAGACCTACGCACCCAACGCCCAAAATAACAGGGAAAGTGTTTAAAACAATTCCTCTCATCTCCCCAAAGGATCTAAATTTGGTTTTGGCTAATATCAAAACACCATTTTACAGTCATGCTAAAAAATAAACCCAGTTAGGGGGTGGTTTGGGCAAATGTTATTTTTGGGGTGTTTATTCCAAATGTTACGAGTTCAAGGCCAAACCGCTGTTGGTTGGTCTTTTAGGGGAGATCGCACTGCCTTCTCACAGGCCGCTCTCTTTAGCAGTGTGCAGACTAGCAATTTCAAAATGCCAACGGTCACAAGGAAATATTTTCTGCTTTATCAATACAAACAGAGAAAGGCCTAGGGAGACGGATTCAGATATAATTAGGCATTAATTAATTGAGTTTTTTTTAATTTCTGTAATAAATGTTTCAAAATTTATTGAAAGCTTTTATTAATTTGTTTTAGAGTTTAAATGGAAATATTTTGAATTGACTTCACTCGCGTAGGTTTTCCTGCCTGTGGCTTTGTTTATATTTTGTTTTGTTTAATTTATTATGTAATTATTCTTGTTTGGAAATTATTAATGTATCAAAACTAATATCTAAAAATTAAAATGAAGCAAAAAACGATTCTATTACCAATGAACTCAATGGCCTTCGGGAAGAAGCAAGCGAGGTTCTGGTTCCAGTGATCGGCGATTGGGATCTGCATGTAGCGAATGTTGCCAGAGTCCTCGAACACATTTGGCAAATCCGGCGTCACATTCATAATGTACTGAAAAAATAACAAAATCAAAAATGTTAAACAAAAAGTTTCACATAATATAATAAAAGTCAACATCAATATTGCTATGATCATTTTGTTTTGTTCAGTGACCATGATTTTAATAAAGATACCTGAATGCGGTGCCTCTGGAGGGCTTCGATGTCCTCACTGTTGACCGCGTTGCCAAGGAAGAGGAACGGCACAATCTCGACGGGAAATTCTCGGTCCTCGTCAAGACCAAGAGATGAATCGCAGCGGTCGGCGTCGTCAACGTCACTTGAGCCTCCACCGGACGAGCTTGATGCACTGGACGAACTTGATGAGATGCGAAGCGAGCGCAGCCCCATCAATGGCGCTGCAACGTCGGCTGCGTCGCTCTCGCACCATTCAGGGTAACGCGCCTTGAACTCGCCGAAACCGCCTGAAACATTGGATGAAAACATTGATTAATATCAGTTACCATACCTTTTTCTAAAAGGCAGTATAATATTGTATTGTCTTTGACTTTATTTAAACATAATCAAATTACAACTATTGGCAAGGTTTTTGATCTTATTGGCAAGTGTCCATATTTGTTGCAGGCAAACTTTTAAATACCAAACAATTACGTTACTTGGCCTTTCAATAGCGATGCACGACTATAAATAGCATAGTTATATGGCATACAACAATGTATTTATTTCATCAACAAATTTGTATGTATCAAAAACAAAGTAGCCCTCTTAAACTTTGAACTTCTTTGTTTTTTGACAGCAGAGCTTTGCAAAAAGAGCTTCCTTTGACGAAAACGCCTTCAAGTTTGTGCATTTTTCTCGCGATATCAAATACATAATATAACCTAACAGAACAAAGGCAAATTCGTTGGAATTCAACCAAGCGCTAAGGGGCGTCTATTTCGAGACTTCCGGCGAGGCGGACTTTATGAAGCAATTTCATTCACGCAGCCAGTCCGTTTGCTCGCTCTGGTTTATTATCAACGGCAGACAATTCTTATCTTGACGGCGTGCTTTTGGTTTCCGATTTCGCTCCGCTCTCCAGGGCAAGAATCTCCATTCATATTTATGCTTCGCGAACCGACAGATAACGACCAAAATTTCTCGGAACACTCCCGACCGACGCACTTCCTGCATCTCCTTTTTGTGAATCTTTCTCTCCATTCAATTCAATGTTGTGAAAAAGTTCGTTTCGGTAAATTCAATGTACATTGTTTTTAAATATTTGATTCGGTTGTCTATTTAGAACTTCCGCTCTCGGCCCAGCAAGCCGGTCAGCCATGCTTGCAAAAGGCTGGTGTTTATATGAGCAGCTCAAACGATTTTTCCACGCGTTCTGGCTGACGTAGCCTCTCCCATAGTCTCTTTGATCTTATTTTAACATTTAGGGGCTAAAATCTTCTGTGCCTGTCTAGGTGAACGGTCACCAATCGATTTTTGCATAAAAAGGAATCATATCAACCAGTCACCTTTGAAAAATAAAAATTATTGATTGTACAATAAAAAAATCAAGCGTAAGGTAAGATATTATTGGATATTAAGTATATAATCAGTCCAGTGAATTGTTTAGCCTTCCTGCCTGCCGCAACCGTCACCATATTAGATCCACTCTTTACCAGTTTCAAGCAATCATTTTTGAGCTGAGAGGAAACTCATCAGCAACGCAGTTGGTTTCATTTGCATGAAAGAAAGCGTCCGTTGTCATCGTCTAGGCATTTCCATCCCATTCAATCCGGCATGAATGAGCAAAGGAAGTGATTTGAGCCCCGTGATAATTACACTCACTCGCTTGCTCAACGGACGCATGCGAGTATTATAACAACCAGAGTGGCAAAGGTATCACACGCTTTCCTTTTGAGTACCGAATTACCAATCGAAGATGCCGCACTCCTTTCGCACGATGGTTTACAAGAAAAATGCAGGAAAAATATTTTTTGTTAACTCTTATTCATTCATTTTTTTGAAATCATTTGTAAACAAGTAGAAATTCTTCATATCTAAATAAAATTTTAATTCAATATACAATTTAAAAACAAAAAATACAAAAAGTAGAATAGTTATTTTATTATTAAAGAATTTGTGGCAAAGCTCTTCGCGGCTCTTTGTTATTTATTTTGTGTAGTGGGTTTCCCTTTCATTTCTTCTAATCGTGTAACAAAACACAGAAGAAATCACGTGAGCAACACTTGCTCAAATGAACCATTGCACGTGCGGACGTTAGGCCGGCCGTCCTTGGCACATTTGATGGGCTTCTCGCGGAACGTGAATACAAAAATTCTATTGAAAAAGATTCAACAAGTCAAGAAGCCCCACGTGACACGTTGCCAAGGGATGATCACCGCGGAGCCTCACATAGCTAGGGGTGTACCAAAATCAACCGCGATGGAAGTCTTGGAATTTCCAAAAATAGCCAGAGCTTCCTCTTGAGCACAAAGGAACAAGATATATGATTTCCGGTGCGATTTTAGATGTTATTTAACTTAAAAGTTAATGAAAAAAAAGTTAGAATGAAAGGAACAGAAAAAAATTGTCTTTTTTTTAAAACATAAAATTTAAATTATATAATTTAACTGAAGTTAATAAATAAATTATTGTATTTATTAAGAAATTAAAACACGTCAAGTTTTTTTCCAGAAAGTTGCCGAAGCGGAAAATGTGTAATTAATGTCTCACAAGGAAACTGTTTTGCGGCAATTAAGGTTGGCGCAAGAGAATTGTTTCACGAATCAACGCCACGATCTTAAAAAAAATAATAACAGAAAAGAGACACGCAGGATGTTAGTCATCATCAATATACAGGCATCCCTTTTGCTATACAGCCTGCTTGTAATCCCAAGTTGTGAGTCAACATGCTTTTTGCATTGTGATATCATGAGTGCACCTTTACCGGGAATAATCTCATCAACATGGTTAGCGTTTTATTCTATTATGAATTATATTCATCAAATTGATTGCAGTTTACTTGAAATCTGCCACAAAATATATATAAATCTTTCTCTCTCCACCTTTTTTATTTGCGTGTATATCTTATATCACGTATTAATTTTTCTCTAAATTATTATTTATTACCATTAATTCACAATGTTTGCTTTTTCTAATAAAAATGGAAAGAGTTTTTCAACCAAGTAAGAAGAAAATGTAGCATGATTTGATTATCTTCTGGTTGCAACTCTTTTGCTCTTTTTATCGGCCTTCGACCCCGTCAGATCAAGTGGCAGCAAAAAGGGAACGGCAAAACAATGCGCGAGAATGAACGCTGCCGGAAGTGGCGCAACCTCCTTAGCTTTTGCCGTCTGCGGCGACTTGGGCGAGTGGGAAAACAAAAGTGCTGCTTGCGGATTGAGCTCATCTCTGTGCGCGCCGCCGCTGCATTCATCGCCGGCCTTGAATGAAATGTGCATGCTAATATCTGGACGATGCATCAATTAGCAGCGGCGCAACCGCACAGTGCAGATCCTGCCATTAAATAATCATCTTGGATTTGAAAACAGCATATTACATTTTTTATCTAAGCCGTGAATATTGATTCTGGTAATTACACAGGTGTTTGATTTAAAAATAATGTTTCCATTAATTAAGTAGTTAAGTTTTTACTTTTTGAAGTTTTTCCAAGGTTGACTTTCATGGAAATTTCCACACATACTTTGCATTGATATTTTTTTTTTCAAATAAATAATTTTAAATAATATTTTCTACGCATGGAAGTAAAAAAAGGACAAATACTGTGCGTCATGAAAGTCCTGCTAATAATGGAATATCTCATGCTCAAAAAGTGAAACCAAATTGACCTCAGAAAGCATTAATGAACTAAAGGAAACAGAAAACCACATCCAAGGAAACGCATCAACTATATTGCAATGCATGGAATTAACCAGAATTACCGCTCAGCTAGCAAGGAAAACCGTAAAAAAAATATTTCTCAACCGCTAAATTTGTAAGTTCAATACTGTGCACATGTATGATAATAATATTTTATGCCAAGTCTTTTAACCATGATAAAAGTTGTTAATTTTCCAGACTGTCTAGATCATAGATATATATTTACAATTTAAATTGCCTTTTTTTTGCGCGATAGTTTATCGTGGAGGCCAAGTCTCTTTTGATGTTGGTCGTTTTAGCAGACATCTGTTAGTTGTAAACCCTTTCTTCTCTTTCCAGTTAAAAATTTTTGTATTTACCGACAAGAATAAATAATAATAATTTAATGTTTTTACAGTCAGTCACAGTTGAATTTTTTCAATTCTTCGAAAGGACTTTAGAAGAATGAATAAACTTAAATTTTAATCAGTTAATTTAATTTTCATATTATTTTATTCCCTGCAGCGTTTTTCAAAGAAATGTCTGCATGGGTGTTAGGGTGCAGCTGGAGAATTGTTGAACAAATGCGTGGGCTAAAAATAATGTATGACATGCATCAAGAAAACAATCTAGGCGGCGCCGCGATTCTTCTGCACCCAAAGCAAAAAGCGCCGATTCCGTTGAACGGCTTTTATCGTCCGAGGCGTCATTTTACGCAACATTATTATTTTTATATATATATAAAAAATGGGATAAAAAAATGTTGTTTTGTAACGCCATTGATAAAAACGTTTCTATCGCTTATCTTTTCGTCAACGGTTTGCTTTGAGGCGATTCAAAGAAAGAGTTGATGTTGGCGGAGTGAGAAATGAATAATCCACTCGGCGTTGGCGTAGGTTGGCGGGGCTGGCTTGGCTGAGTGTGGGCACTTTTGCAGCTCAACGGCCTGTGTGGGTGTGTGGAGAGGAGAAGCAAAAGAGCACCAAGTTTCGAGCGAGAAAAAAAAGCATAGGCGCGTCTGCCAATTAACTGCGCCTGTGTGGACAAAATTTAAATATCAAAGAAAACCACACAATCAAGTAAAGAAAAAAAATTAATTTTCCGCATGGAAAAAACAGAAATGGATTTAATAAAGCCCAATATTTTCTTTTCCTAAGCTTCATAAGCTTTGTAAGTTCATGTTAATAAAAAAAATTATATGAAAATATTATCATTTCCTACTTGCACTTTAATTTGATTTATTATTCCAATTTTCGAATCATAATTTTATTTGGCAATTGCGTAATTAGGAAAAAAAATGCACAATCGCGGGCGTGCGTTTTATTGATTATTTGCCTGGCCTTCGTGGGATAAGCGGGTGAATGATAATTCTTTCATGAGAACAAACTGTTGCCCCACACGCGTGAATGGAACTGGCTGGCCGGGCGGGCGGGCGGAGGCATGCGCTCACTGCCCCCACCCCCACGGCAATGGAACGCTCCACCAAAACAAATAGCACAAAAACAAGTGCCGAATGCCGAATTGCCCGAAAGGGTTGGCCGACCCACCGAAATTTGCAATTTCGGGCAGTTTCCGATTTTTCAAATATTCCCGCCCAGCAATAAAACAGATTTATAGCCACTTTTTGAGCCGCAAGGCATCCATGGGGATGATGGGCGCGGCCGAAAAAGTGACGGGCAAATTCGAGGGTAGCAATACACGGTGCAGGGCACCAAAGGGGGTCTCGCCGCCCCCCAAAAACATGATACTCACCATTGAGACATGCCACCCGGCAGCCATCTTGTTTGAGCCTTCTAGTGAGAATTTCTAGTGTGTCGTTATAATTCGGGTGGTTGGCGTCTGCCGAATCGCCGTAGACGACGAACACGTTGTGGCCGAGGGCGTCGGCGATTTTGGCCTTCAGCTCGCGACACTTGATGGTGGAGACGAGGTCAATCTTGCCGGCGGCCAGCCTCCGCAGCATGATGCTCGGGATGGACAGGTTGACGGCATGCCGGATGTGGGCCTCGCCAAATTCAACCGAGCTTCGGCAGTCAATCAGAACGCACCGGCCGCTGTCCGAGCGCAACTCTCTGAGCAGCCACTCGGCGTCAACGCCCGTTGGTGCCGCGACCACCACCGAGTCGGGTCCGTCTTCATCAGCGCGCATTGAGTCGCCACCGTCGTCCGACGACGGCATCTCCTAACAATGTGCAAAGACACCGGTTTACATGCCGTTCGGACGCCTCAGGATAGTTGAACGCAGGGGCAGCAAACAACTGGCCACCGCGTGAAGATGCAAGCTGACAGGACTCGCGAGGACTTCTTCTTCACTCACTGTCTCACTGCTCAACGCTCGCTGCTCTGTGCTCTGGCCTCTGGCAGCCGCCTTCCCTCTTCCCTTCCGCAGCCCAAAGGATATTAATTGAAAATGAGATCGCACAAAGTATCGAAAGTGAAAAACCGGTTTGAGGGACCAATTCCACCAGTTTCCTTTTTTTGTTCAAGGGTTTTGCGTTGCCGGTTGTTGCGAAAGTAACCGGTTTCTTTCAATATATCGATTCCACCTGCCCATAATCGACCTGCCGCTCGTGTGTGGGCTCAGTCATGTGACCGGAGTACTGGCCAATCGCGTTCGTCACATGACGTCACTTCATTGACTACTTTTAAGAATGAGGGTGCGGGGGTGGCGTGTGAGCTGCCCCCGGACTCCCTGCAGTCCCTGCACTCATTGATTGAACCCCAAATGCCACTGACTTGAGGTAAACAGAGTAAAAGTAGTAATAAGGACCATAGAATAATAATAATATAATAATAATAATGTATGATTATGTGTATTAAAATTATGTAGAAGATTTATTTCACAATGCTGTTAAGAGATTTAATTTATTCATGCTGCTAGAATTAAGTTATGATTTGCCTCCATCTAGGTTGCTATAGAGGACGTTAATTTTTTATGGATTATGGAGACCAAAATAAAAAATAAAAATAAATAAAAAATTGCTCTACAAGTAAAAAAAATATTTGAAAATTATTTTAATTCAATACTAATTTTTCAAAAAATAATTTGATAATTCATGAACAATAGCAGTCCGCACTAAAAACATGGAAATCAAGATTTTTCTGCAAAACCAATTTTTTTAATTAAAAAAAAAACTAAAAAATTCACCGTATAAAATCTGAATTTCAATCGGACATAATAAGCATCCATGCGTATAAGGGCCAAGATCGAGAGTATAGATTGTTTTTAAATTCATCTAAAATTATGAATTAACCGGAATTAACTATTAACTGCATAGCCAAAATAAGAAAAACCTTGTTAAAAAAAAGACGTCTTCTATATAAACCCACAAAATAAAAATTTGCAACTGCGAAGTGGCAGTGGAACGGGGTGAAGGTTGACATGCATTATCAAAAATAGATTGCTGAAACTTATGGTTCACATTATCTTAAGAAGCTGACAAATTTGATTCAAAAAATATATATAATGAAATCATATAAAGTGCAATTAGTTTCTTGAATTAAAGCAGAACAGTTAAACTTCAAACGTGGGTTATGGAAATGAAAATGTTGCATTTTTTTTACATTTTACCTATTTTTCATGTAAAAACAATTTACAGAGCGTCTGCAGTTCTTGAGCCCCATATACGCGTTTCATTGATAAGTGCACTTTTATTCATTCTGCCGCTTGCACCTTGAATGTGCCAAAGCAGCTCTCTGGTCTTCATTCATTCACCCTCTGCTCTGGTTTCAATTCAGCTTTTACAGCAGCTGCTGCACCGAGTTGCACAAAAGGGAGACGCGCGCGGCGAGAGGGGTGAATCGGGAACGGAATGGATCAATCGACTTCATGTAAGTGCAAAACCCTTTGGCATTTATCGCTGCAATATAATTTTACCATGAAAAATTATAAAAAAAAAAAAAACATATAACGTTTTAGGAAAAAAATGTGATAATTAAATAATTTTCCCCATCTACTTTGCATATGAATAATTGAATAATAATTATAATTAGAGCACTGTCCATGGTTGTGCGCATGGTGTTCGCTTCTGTTGGTTTGAGAGTCATTTCAGTGGTGAGCGGACTAAGGTGGCCTCTATGGCAATGAAATAGAACTTCGTGAAAAGAGTTAACAATTTTATCACAAGATAATAAGACATCGTCTTTGCTTTCTATATTTTTACACTCATTAAACTGTTGACTTTGTTGTGTGTTTAAAAAATAATGAGGAGCAGATTTAAAAAAAAAAATCCAAATTAAGGTATTGCTAAAAATTAATAATGACAATAAGGACTTTGCTACATTTTGTTATAAAGGCGGTTAAAGGTTCATCTGAGTCATTTTTATTATTTCGTAAGAAATAGCAAGAACATATTTTCAACTTGTTAATAACTCTGTACAAATATTTACATATTATTTATCGATACATTTTTCTTTTAAAACTCCAAAATTTTCACAACTCCTTCATTCAATGCTGCGTAAGTAACGCATACACCATTTTTTCAGTCTAATTTGAAAATCTTTGCGCAATATTTTTGTTGGAAATTCTTGGTGCTTCAACAGGCGCGCTAATATTACGGATACAACATTACGCATCTACTTTTCTGAGAGTGGCCAATTTTAGGAAACTTCCTGTATTTTCCATGCGTATTAAAACTTTAAACTTTGTGCAGAGCTAGAAGCGGTAGATATTATTATTGTGATTTATGTAACTTTTGTTACTGCTGCACAACCTTAAGGCTCATTTGAAAAATCGTGCACAATAAATAATGAAATTGCATTCTAATATATCCATGAGTTAAGAACAACAACAATATAACAAGCATTTGCATTTTGTCATTTAATTAGAATTTTTCAACGCTTTTTCATCAAAATTGACTAACATAAATGCAACGGTAAAACTAACAGTTTCATGTCTTTCTACTTGACATTTATTTGAACAATCTCTAGAAACACTGGAACATTCCCGCAATCTAATATTACATAATTTCAATATTTTAAAAGCGTAACTCCATCTCATTCAATTCACATCAGCATACACACGCAGGTAGCAGCTTCTGTCAGAGGAATTGATACTTAAGCAAAAAATTTATATTATGTAAAATGGTTTAGTTTGTCACATATTTTTACAATTTTATACGTCCTTTGGCTTTCCAAATTTTATTTCATAATTATAACACTTTTATTTTAGCTTTTAACAGATATCTATGACGCCTATAATATTTTGTTTAAAATAGCGCAAATTGTCATCATTTATACGCTTCACAACTGCCGCTCAAGGTAGCATTGTTAATTTTAAGTTTTTTTTTTAATTTAAAAACTATTTTATGCAAGCAAAGCCAGTTTGTTTTACTATATATTTTGGAAATTTTAATTATGAATATAAATTCTATGTCTTTTTTTTAATCTACTTATTAAATTTTATAAAGTTAGGGAGACTTTAGGAAATAAACTTTGTTACTATCCAATACAATAGCTATAATACAGAACTATATTAAAGAGCAGATAAAGAATTTGATTATTAAGATAAGACCAAACCACCAGTTTTTTGTGGCATTTGCTTACTTAGCGACTTCTACTTTTAAGTCTATAAATATACGTTTAATGATGAGCTAAAAGAAAATGGGTGTATGCTTACAATGTTTGTTTTTTAATCTAAATGATTAAAGATATAGAGAAAATAATGAAAATCTGTAAGACGTTTTAATATGTTGCAAAATTGAAAGTGGATTTCAGTGTAGAATTGTAAAGGCGGCAGCACACACTAATACTGTATGCTTATTGTTAGGCAAGAACATAATTATCTCAAATCGCGCCTGGAAGTCTCTTGGTTTGAAGTTAAAAAATTCCACTCTCACTGTGAGCAGGAAATTTATTTTAAATGCGCGCGCAAAAATCAATAAATGTTACCCGATGTCGAATATTAGTTCCAGTTAATATTTTTCAAACCATCGGCTAGTGTTTAGTTATTGCTTTCATCTCATTTTGTTGCCAAATGCTGGGGAAAATTCAATTCTCGTTACCAACCCTTATTTAAAAGAGGCAGAGGTGATGGAAAGTGTCAACAGTAACTTGTCGGAAGAGTTTGTCATGTTTGCCCTTTTATCACCTTGACAATCACGGGCGGCCTAAACAAAAATTTCATCCTCTCGTCATGGTGGCTCTTTTACACGTCTCTCCAGTATCCTAATCTGATCGCGCAGCTCATCCTTTTCGCGCAGTGCATTTAACAGCTGCCTTCGCAGTTCCGTTTCGCGCATCTGCCATTCAACAGTAGTGAGATCTGTGGAGGGCTCTTCTGCCGGGTCTTCTTGATTGATGGGTGATGATGCCAATTGGCAGTTGCTTCGACGATGTCTCAACGATGGTACCTGCTGTTCGAGACTGTCCTGTCGAAACTGCGCCAGTCGACATCCTGTTTGACTATTCTCGACAGGCAAGCGAGGTCGGGATACCTCGGGAGGAGGAGGCGGCGGCGGTGGTGGCGCTTCACTTGCAGGTGTTTTCAGACTTGTCAGCTCAGACGTTTCAAAATCGGTAATAGGAGAAGTTATTGATGAGGGTGTTACTCCTAAATCTCGCTCTTCAGCCTGTACTCTATAACAAAAATCAAAATAAATATAAATAATAACAGTAGTCAATGGTTTTTTTTTTTCAAAGATTCTCTCACTGTTTTCAACAGAAATTTTACCTGCGAATTTCCTGAATCATTTCAAAAAATTGAGCTTTACTCTTCCTTCGCCGTCTCTGTTCGTGTTCCTTCTGAAACAAAGTTTAGTTAAAACGCCAAACTCTTTGGTGTATTTTTTAAAACATACCCTTTTAACACTTTTCTGAAACAAACTAGTAATTTGGCCCTGCCTGAGCGTGTGCATAAGCTCTCTAGCGGCATGATGGGGACTCACAAGCTCCACGCAATTGATGAAGCGATATAATTTCTGAATGAAATTCAAATTTATAGTGTCATGATCATATCATTCAATCTTTCACAAGCTCACCTGACTGAAGAACATGACATTTCGGCTGCGCCAAATGGTGCCTTTGGGCTTGTTTCTCAGAGAAGGCAGAAAGTTGCGATAAAATATGTGCTCAACAATGAGGATCAGTAAGCCGACTACCATTCCGAGGCCAAGAAGAAGGAAGACGCCTGCAACTGCGGTCACTCCCAGAGGACGCGGTTGCACCATGTTGTTTTCAAGGCGGAAGCAAGGAAGACCACCATACCACTTTTCTTGTAAGATGTCCAAATAACCGTTGCTAGCATATTTGGCAATCACAGCAGATATGCTATCCTGCAAAATTAAATAAATATAGAAATTAAAATTAGCAACTGGCAACAAAAAATATACATATATAAATTCGTGTTAATTGTTAATTAACCAAAAATCATTCTTTTAAGGAGGTTAATCAAAAGTAAAAATAGAGTTGAATTTTTAATAATTGTATTTTTTTATCTCACGTACTTTTAAAGGGAATCCCTTATTCATGCCTACGGCATACATGTCCTGGCTGATAGGATCTCCATAGGCCTGTAACTTGCAGCCAGGATCATTGGCACGGTAATAATCAAGCACAGGCGTGTCCCCAATCAGCATATCAAGCGTTCCATTCCTAAGGGAATTAATTTAATCATTTGAAACATTGATACAGCAGTGCGGTAGGCAACCCGCACGTTCGTTAAGACCAACGGGTTGCAGCTCACTCTATTGCAGGCGCTCTCTTCAAAGAAATTGAACTTTACTTAATATTATTTTTTTCACCTCAGGCGATGTACTCCTTCTTCTAAGTTTCGTAGCGTAAACTGTTGCATGTGCTCCCAAAGAGGCTGATTGCTCGTTTGAACATAGTACTCAGCCACAGAGGAACGCGCAGACCCTATTCGCTGTGACAGCAGCTGCAAAGAAACACAAATTCAAGCAATCAAATTATAAATTGTGAGTGCTTATCAACTAACGTAACTGCGAAAAGCTTGAAAAATAAAAACAACCAAGTAACTTCAAATTTGCCTTCACTTCGTGTATGACTTTTAGCCAGCACCAATTTGCAAAGTTTTGATGCAGTATTGTATGCATATATATGTATGTGAGGCGCGCATACGTTTGCGTTGTGTTTGCCATTGGATCGTCGTTAGAAGTCGGAGAAGAGAGCAGCTAATAAGTTTTGCGCCTCTGAGGAGAAAGCAAACATAATAAAGTTAGCATCAGTCACGCTCTCTATAGAGCTGGCATCGAAGCCGCCAACAATAACTCGTTCTCAAACGCGAACCCAGCAAAGACATACGGCGGATGCACGAGTCAGAGTTTACTTGAAAGCATGTGAATGATGATTAAATTAAACATTTTTCTGTGTAACTGTAAATTTGCGAGTGGGCGAGTCTCAGTTCAAGATAATTGCTCTTAAAAGTTAGGCCGTTAATGGCTTATTAATTCAATTATATTGTGAGTGGAATGGCAAATGGCCTGGAGGGGCGGCTCCGGTTATGAGAGAAGCTACGCTTGAAAAACGACTTTTTGATTCAAAATGTTTGACGAAATTTCTCAAAATTAATTAATCAGAAATGAACATAGCCTTGTAACCAAATTAGACTTATTTTTCTTTTCATGACGAGACAGAGAAATAAAACGCTCGACAAACGTGGACTTTTATGGAGATAAGAAAGTATTCTAACAAATTCGCTCTGTCAGCATCAAAAGTTTGCAAAGCGCAATGTTTGTCGGAGCTTTTGAATATCCAGAGCTTGCAGGCATAAAAATGGTCTGGCGGCAGCGTGTATTGATTTGGCCCACGAAAGGCTTGTTTGCATTGGCACGCGCCATTTATTTCAACACGTGCACTTCATAGATTGAGATTGATGGTTTGTCTCTTGGCAAAAGCAATCGTCTACTGTCTTATGTTGTTAGTTAGAAAGTAAAATAGTGCACACTTTTATTGGACTTACGCTTCTGTCATGGAAGCTGGGCGAGTTCTGAAAGAAGTGTCCCGCGATGAGAGCTGCGATGTTGGCCGTGTAGCTGGCAACAAAGATGACGGAGAAACCGCCCCAGATGTTTATGAGGAACTTGTTCGGCCACGACTTAGGTGCCTTAAAGGCGACCAGGTGCCCGCAAAGCAATCCCCACATAACCCACAACGCGGACGACAGACTGAAGTTCTTGCTGCGCTGCCGCCCCCACGGGTTGAGGCCGAACGGGCTGAGCCACTCGTAGATGGCCACAGCGACGGCCGTCACGTTCAACGAGGTGAATATCGCCACCCACAACTCTGGACTGAATGGCAGTAAAAAGGCAAGCAGAGGAATTTCGTTGTGCTGCGAAGGTGCAACGAGCAACGAAATGCCGCTGAAGTAATAAGGCGCCGAAAAGTCGACAATCTCCGAGCGCGCCGATGAAACCGACAGCGCTGCAAATGACATGTGCGCGGCACCCGTAACTAGGTCGCCAATGATGCCATTCCATCTGAAAATGGAGTGTGTATGTTTAAATTATAATGTTTATTTACGATGAAGAGGCAAAATAATATTATTAAAGTAAAGAGCTAATAAAAAACATGCGTTTTAATAAATTAATTAGCAAGATTATTTTAATTTTAGGTGGCATACCTTTGGTGCTCATCTTTGGACCAAACCCTGGAGCCGTAAAAGCCATCACTGACTAGATAAAGGTGGAAGTCGAACTCCAGCTCTTGAGCGACGTTTTCAAGCAAGTCCATGGAAAGGCCATAGCAGCAAGTTGGCTGCAAAGGGTGGTCTGCGGTCAGCTCTTCCTCAGGTTCCCAGGAAAAGAGCAGCGTCATATTGTCCTGGTGAGCACCCGCCGAGCGCGGCACTCGATGGCACTTCAGGCCGCGCAAACACTGACCGTCCTCCAGAAGACCTTCCATGACGAAAGGCGGTGCCAACGCCGTCACCACGCGAAACACGCTGCGACCGCCGGGGGAAGGACCCACAATGTCCCCGCCAGGCCACACGATCGTTTCCAGAGAAACTTGGCGTCCAATTACGTTTCCAACCGTTTTCCAAACCGGCCCTTCAAAAATAAATTATGTGTGAATATATGATAAGAAATATAATAATACTGAATATTTATAAAAGGACATAAACATGATATTGATTGGGACAGGATTAGGATATTTAAATTTTACGTTGAAATCTAATTTTGGTCTACAAGGATCAACTAGCGATTATTGCTTATGATGCACTATAAGCTAGCTGAAAGCATACAAATTGAATTGCGTGCAATTGTTTTACAATGACACTTAAACGACTTTTTCGAGTGCGTTCGAAATAGGGTCGAGTGACTCAAGTGTTCCTCGCTGCAGTAATTCTTGGAAAACGCTGCAACTCCTCACCTTGTTCAGGCGCCACCAGGTTAAGTAGGTCAAAGGCGGAGGCAAGCGGAGCCACTTCTGGGTCCATAGACTCGCCGGCCAGTGCCAAATTTACTGCACTTCGCAAATCCCTGGAACACAATTTAATTATATTAACATTCTACACTTGATCACTGGATTGACAACAAATATTATGAATAATAATAACAAAATATATAATTTTTATTTTTATTACTTTCAATATTAACTTTGCGGCATTATTTGCTCAATTGAGATTATTGAGTATGAATACTTAGTAACAGTAATGATTCAGTATAAATACGCAATTTTGCTGTTTATTTCATATAATTATTTTTTTCTATTGATGATTTTTTTATTTTTAATAAAATGTGATTTTTTTTAATTAATTTATTGAGCTCACTTAACTAAATAAAACTGATAATTCAAGTTTCAAACAAGATTTGGAACAGTAGATATTTTTAAGAATAAAATAGAATTGAAGGGAGCAAAATAACAAAAAGTTCCTTCATATATTATACCGTAAATACGTATTTAGCCCCTTTTCTTTTGTAATTTCTCCTTTTTTTTTGTAAACAAAGTTTTTTGTGCACGCGTTTTGACAAGGAAGAAAGTGTTTTTGGTGGCGAGGGTGCCAGCAAGGGTAAATATGCGGTTTGAGCTGTTGAAGGGCGAAGTTTGGCTTGTGAAATGATAAATCTCGCTCGCCCATTTTTCATCCATCGCTGGGGACGCCCTTGCTTTATTGGCACGGCTCCACGTTTCTCCTACCGCGGCGTCAAAACGAAAAAGAGCTTACTTTTTATTGCACACACGTGGATATGATTCGACTTGATCGCTAGCTTGGAGTTTCTCTCTGCATGCGAATTAAAAGTTAATGCGGCAAAGGCGCCCGGCTTTTCGAGTGCTACTTAACTTTTTCAGTTTCCCAGCTGTCGCCTGCAATAATGCTATGACTAAATCAACTATACGGCCGTACAAAAAAATGTCATTTAGAAAAGAAAGGGCCTTTGTACAGTTTAGTTGTGAGGAAGCTACAGCTGCAAAGGGCGTCTTCGCCATTTTTTTAGGAGCCGACGGAAGCTTTTAAAAGCTTTGGCCCTAGCAGAGTTGAGACACAAAGGCCAAGCAAAGCGTTGCACAACCTTTTTGCCTTACGGCCATTTTTCTCAGAAGGAAGTTTCAACTGGCTCGAGTCCATTCGTATATAAAACAGATTTTCTGAATATTTGATATATTAAAAAAAAGAGTAAGAAATGTTGAAAATACAAAGTTGAAACTAATGTTTATTAAATTCTTAATGAAAATGGATGGAAACGTTTTCCAGGAACTTTTTTATAGAGTTGTAAATTATTAATCAATTTTCTGTATTATTATTATTATTCATTGAGGTCAAGATGATTGTAAATTTACGTGAATTGCTTCTCACAATTCCAGTTGTTTTAATATTTAATTTAAAAAAATTGCCAAATTAGCAAGTTGTGTGTGTGTTTTTTTCGGCGGTAAATACATTTTTACTTAATATCTGCAGAGAAATTATGAATGAAATTAGACTCTAATTTTAGCACCTACCTAACAATTTTGTTAGCGAACCTGGTCTGGCGACCAGTCGTCCTAAAGCACGAAGGTCTCAGGTCGGTTATACCTGCAGCAGCATCTATGGGCAGCCAGGTACGCGTCACAGCCTTTTTGATCACAAGCGCGAGCGTCTTGAGCAACGCACGCAACGTCTGTTTGAGGTGCAGCCGCGCTGGACGAGGAAGCAGGCTGAGCATGCCGAGGGACAGGTCCTTACGCACGGCCGACGCAACGCCACCCGCGTCCACCAACAACCATACCCAGTCCGAGCTGAGCATGTGCAGGCGCTGCGCTTGACGCAAGGTGGCGCGCGCGACCGCCTCTTCGGCCAGCAGGACGACGACGCCGCGGGTGGCGCGTTGCAGTTCTGCCAGCCGGTGGAACACGGCCAGCGGCGTCGCCTCCGAACGAAGCAATACGCTCGACGATGCCGCCAGCGGCGCCAGCGCCGCGCGAACCGCCGCCGCGCCTGCACTTGCGTCAGACACGATGCTGTACGTGTGCCAGTGCGCGGCCAGCAGCAGGTGACGAATGGCCGCAGACATCTCGCTCCATGACGGGTCCACGTTCACTTCAAACGCAGACATCGCCTGCAACATTTTCGACAAAATCATTAATTTTTGGAAAATCTAATCATAACAGATTGATTTTGGCCGGAGATTCTATATGTTATAGATTTGTGCCCTTTGAAAGTTAAAGGGCGGTCGGAATTGACGCGAAACAATTACAAATTTAATATAAGGGCGTTTCCGAGAGATTGACGGGGCATTGGGCAAATAAATAACCCTGACTGACTTTTTCTTTAGGGACTCTGATAGAACAAGAAATAGGTTAGCAAGTTTTGTTTAAGTTTTTTTTTTCATATGAAAATGAAAAACAACTAAAAAGTTTATCCGTTGCTGATAATCGTTTGCAACCCTTTTCACGAGCAAGTAAAAAATTGGTTAATTTTTGAAAGAAATTCAAATATTTATAACATAAAATTAAATCTCAAAATATAAAAACAATACATCGTACAATGATCGTCCTTTGTATTATCAATAAAATTGGACGATATATTTAAAATTTAAATTTTTCTTTCCTTTTTTTGGAAATAATTAAAACTGCAAAATATAAGTCCGATAATTTAAAAAGCAAAGAAATAGAATAGGCAAGTATGGAAAATAAAAATAGTAATTTAATCATTCTATCTTTAATTAGACCCCTCTGGTACAGATTTGGTTCAGAAAACATGGAACAGAATCGCAAACAGTGACTTAAACTGGAGGACGCTTTGTGTTCTTTAATGAAAAAAATTTCACCAACAAGAACAATCCCATCTTTCACATTAATTTTTTTTCTTATTTAAAACTTTCTCCTAAAAAACTTTCTTGCAACAAAACAACAACTATTGATGCTTTAATGTGTGAAATCATGTGAGTATTCAGTAATGATTTTCAAGTGTAGCACTTGCGACAAGAGAAGGAGAGCTATGTGAGCTATATCTGATATTAAGTCGAGTGTTTCTTTTATGTACCGTATCAGATGCTGTGGCTGTAGTCAGCCCATAAACTATACAGGTTTTATTTTCCTTTCCGAAGCAAAGGGCCACATATCATAATTCTGGTAGCTTGTCGTGGGCACGCAGTGTAATTCGATTTTTCGAGTGGCGTGTACAATTCCCTGGTGCGCCCTTTGCGTCTCTGGCAATTGCCACTGAGAAGCCGTCAGATATAGTTGACCATTTACTTATTTGAGGCATAAAACTTTTCCCAAAGGTAAGCTTAAATGTTTTTAAATATTTTCCTAAAAAATTTGCAAAATTTTAATCTCTCCGCAAAATATTTGATGTAGTTTTTTGCATGTAGCAGAGCCACAGACAATACAATGCAATCCAAAGCCAGCATATGTGTGCAAGCTTTATTAACCCGCTCGCAAAGGCGCGTAGGGATTTTAGTCTGCTAATCAAACTGCACAGCATGACACGCGAGGACAATATGACCATCCCGAGAATATTTTTTTGGCGGCAGTTAAATGCGAGCGCCCAACATGCGACCAGACCAATGCCTTTTCCATTAGTCCGACGACCGACGTTTTATTAAATTAACAAGCACTAATGCGGTGCTGACCCACTTCGATGGGTGGCGGCAGCTGCAAATGCTGCAATTCCCATGCTCGCTAACGTGTAAAGTGGCGATTTCGGTGACCGACCTGCTCCAACCAGGCCCATTTTAATTGTACATCAACCACTTTCTGGTGCAAATGCTGGCCTTGAAATAAGTTCTAAGTTCAAGGAAACAATCACAAAATTTGAAATGATTTTATTTATTTGCTAATGAATGCGTGGCATGGCGTTCGATATGTATGTATCATTATTACGAAAAGCAAATTTCCCTCCCTCTGCAAGCAGTATTTGTGGCAGCAATTTTAAAGTGTTTGTGATTGTTCTTTTTTCAAAATAGTGTGGGTTCACCGCGGCGGCCGTGTCTCTTTGATGTCGGGCGTTTTAGCAGACGTCTGCTAGTTGTAAACCCTTTCTTCTCTTTTTTTCCCAATTAAAAAATGTTTGTATTGACCGAGAAGAATAAATAATAATAAAAAGTATTTACATTTAAACTATAAAAATATCAAACTAATTGTAAGATACTTAATTTCAGTTTGAAACTGACAATGAGTTGAAAGCTAATTTTAATTGCAAAACTGCTCAGTAAATTATTAAACAAGTTTCAATATATATATATATATATATATATATATATATATATATATATATATATATATATTTTAAATTAAAACTCAAATTCTGCAAAAGAAAAAAAATAAATAATTATTATTATTATTTTCATTTATAGAAATAAAATACTTGTAAACATTGCAGCGAAATTTTAATGAATAAACCAAATTTCTTGAATTTTATTTACAAACTAATATTAAATCTCCTTTTCTAGATTTTCTCTCTTTTTTTTAGTCGACCAGATAAACAAATGCCAGCAAATAAAAGATGTATGATTTTTTCCAATAAATAAAAAGCAAAGACCCAAAATAAAAATATGACATGGAGTGGTGCCTTCTGCAACAACAATAAAGGGCGCAGACTGACAAAACTTTGTCATTGGAATGACACACTAAAATAAAATCAATGAAGGCAAACAGTTTTGGATCATAAAATTTGAGTCTAAAGTTGGACACCGAGTCTTTTTTACCTTCTTAATTACATTTTTTTTTCTACAGCCAAAACTATGAAAAAAAATTCTTGGCAAAGGGGTGTGGACTGTTTGGCTATCGGATCCTGAATAATTGTTCTCATAAAGTAGCGTTAAACTGTCACTGCAAGCAGTTTGTACAAAATTGTCCTAGCAGCTTACACGGTGCATGAAGAACATGTAAAAGTTGCAGGAGTCGAGCTGAGCAGGCGAAATCGGCACGCTTCGCTGGATAATCCGCTTTGAATCAGGGTCAGCTTGAAGCCTCTTTATCATCACCTCCCGCATCGAAAATCAATGAAGAAAGAGAAGCGTGACAGAGCGAGAGATACATTCTAAACTTCCAGACAGAAGCGATAAATTGAAAAATCCCATGAACGTCCATTAAATCAACACAAAAATATTATATAATATTCATGGGTAAATAAATTTTTCAGACGTGTGAGCCTTAAGGGTATAAAAGCAAATAGCGAGGAATCGATTTTAATTCATTTCATTTAACGGCGCTGGCAAAAATAGATCGTGGTAAATACATATCACTTTTATTCGTTTTGCTCACAATCAGAACAAAGAAGCAGAAAAACTGGCAGTTATACTATCCTTATAAGGTTATATAAGAGAAGACAGAGCCCAATTGTTATAGATGTTGTGTTTGGCCGAGCGAAACAGAAAAGTTTTTAAACAAAAGGCAAGCGCCCTTCCGTTTTCAGTTAGCTGCGAGATGAAATATATTTCGCAAACTTTTCTTATTATGATCAATGAATGACGTCACACATCGCACGGGAGATTACAAACGTCCCGAGATGGTTGTGATTCTTTTTCTGGCGCCAAGAGCGGCTTTGGCCCCTTTCTCACCCTGTGCGAATCGAACCACTCAAACCTCACACATTCTGCCGTGCCGCTGATAAGGACAGGCAGAAGAGAGAATTCCTTTTGTTCGAATAATCTCCAGTGCGCCTCTTCTTCAAATAAAGGCACCTACGCGCCGCTTTTCTGACTTTGCTCTACCCATCCGCGCACAATTCCCTGGCGTAAACAAAAATAAACAAAATTGGGTTCCTGCCCTTGCAACGAAAAACTCCGACCAAGTTAAGGCGTATTTTGCATAACTGATTACAAAATACCTACTTGGCCGTAGGTCGTTTTTATCTACCATGCAAAGTAAACCTTTTAGTACTGTCACAGAATAATATGGCTACAAGAAGAACCGGATAATCTGGGTTAATTGAGTTTGCAACAAAAGCTGATTGTGATAAACTTTCATCTTTGATTCAGCGTGTTGCTAAAACTTCAGGTTAAATTCAAAATCCAGAACGAGTGGCTATGAAAAGATAAAAGGTCGCAAATATGAAGCAATGTATTTTTCATTAAAGATATCATTATGCTGTATGAGCTACATACGAGAAAAAAAAATTATTACACGTTCCCAGAATAAATGAATGGCCTGAGGATTCGAGCCAACTGTATGACTTTTTTTTCATAAAAACATATTTAACTTGCTCAACTCAAGCGTTTGATATAAAAAATTTGAATACGGTGCTTTAAAAAAAATTGTCATCCTCGAACTTTGCACTCCCGTGTGATCGATCGGGCGCGGCTTGTGCCTTGTGCGCTTTGTTTCCTGTTCTGTATCTCATTGGCTCGTGTCACACATTTTGCATAAAACCATTGGTATGGCTGTTGACGGACAGCGGGCAGAACACAAAGGGTGTCACTTTCAACTCATTGGCAGACAAATACTATAGTGATTGATTCATCGCTTGGTTGGTCAAAAGCAGAAATATGAATAATGCCTTTTCAGATGGCGAACGATAAAATTTAAATTGTAAAGTACCATCATAAAAAATTTCCGTTGTGTTCAAAATTATATTATTTTCCTGAAAACACTGTTTTATTAAGGTCTTAAAAATTATTATTTACCATACATACTTTTTACATTGAAATCAATCTTTTTTCATGTATGACTTGAGTAGAATAAACAACAATAATAATAATAACGCGGATAAAAGTTTGAGAATGGGTGTGAAGAGATCGCACTGATCATTTTGATCTTGAAGAAATTTAGCTCGTTATAAAATTATCACAACTTCTATAGCTCAACATGTTGAAAGACTTGTTTGAAAGTTTGATAAATTTTATTTTCATGCTAGTTTCAAAGGGTTGTAGCAAAATAAAATTTTCTCTCACCCCTTCGTCACCACTTGTGGTTGAAGCGAGTGGATGCATACTAAGCGAGAATGTCAGGGAAACGCATATTGACAGCCAAGTTGAGCGTGAATGATAAACAAGCCTCAGCGAAGAATAATCTCTCTCTGCTGCTGAAGATATTCTCTGGCAAGAACAGGTCAAAACAGACACAGCACATCCATTCGGAAGAAGCGATTCGTGGCTTTTTTGCATTTTTACGACCAGCCTGGCAATAACCTCCCAATCTGCTCTTGAAAAATCTGCCGAAAGATAAATATTATTTATATACGGAGGTTTGTTTCTTATCCTATCTTGTCAAACACCACGCAATACGCATATAATAAATAGCTACGATTTAGGGCAGTCGATTTATTATATGCAATGTACATAGTGAGCCGGCTTCTCAGTAGCGTTTTCCGTTGTTTGATCTGAGCTTGAGCTTTTAGTGAAATTGCTAGAAACGGGGGCACCAAAAGCGGTCGGCAATCTGAGATGCAATCGCCCACTCGGAAAACTTATTTTTTGAGCTGCCCCTCCTGCGAAACTTTGATAAGCTGTTTTGTGAATTTGAAAGATGGGCGACGCTCTTTCTAGAGGACAGCTTCCAATATTTCCACTTTTACAAACTTAATTTAACCTCCACAAGCTATTATATAAAATAAAAGTAAAGTCATCATATAACTTCCTCAACATCGGCAATAATATAATTATCCTGTGATATGGCGTTTGTTTGTTGTTACTCTCTAATTAGCTGTAGCTGGAAGTTACTGTTTGCCAAAATAGTTGCAGAGAAAATAAGATCCGCAACCAGCGCCTGATTGAGGCAGTGACGATAAAGAGGAAATTGGCTCAACTTTAAAGGCAGCAATTTCCGTTGCACCGAAAACGCACTGATTAGGAGGGAGAGCGCGTTTTGATTGGCCGATCTCAGCAAATTGGCTCATGATTTATTCGCAAGAGTCCATGGCCTTCGATGCTGCTATGGAATTTCCCAAGAGAATCAGATAAACCAATTTAACAGACGCATATATATTTCAATGCACAATTTGTATGCTTCTCTGTTAAATTCATCTTGCAGATGTAGCGATGCTTATATGAGCTAAAAACGTTAAAAGTTCTTAAGTCAGTCACTGACCTCAAGTCTGATGAGAGTTTACATGATCAATAAATATTTTCTGCGCCAAACTTTGGAAAACTCCCATTGTTCGGGAAGTAGAGTACAACTCTTTTTATGCGTCTTGTCATTTAGCGCTGTATTGAGGATGACTAGAGGGAATTCGAGCCAGATCCAGGTTTTGCCCTTAGGGACGAGATCGGCGGCACAGAAGGGCAGGCACAGAGAAAGGCAGATGGATTAGCAGCGAAAGCTGAGCCTCAGCACGCAATCGACCCACGGGCCAATCCTTAATTCTTGCTGCACACAAAAACAATCCCCACTTTTCTTTGTATAATGCAAAAGGACTTTAAGTGATGCACCCTCCGCTGCCAACTGATATTTATTGCAAATATTTTTATAATATTCTTTTGTTCCTACTCTTTTGCCAGAGTCGCGAGGGAAAGCATCTCTGAACTTTTACAGCTTTAGAAGAAGGCGGAATGCTGAACAAGGCTCGTTGGATGCAAAAATCAATATTTTTAACAACCATCAGGGGGTTACGGTTAAAACATAAAATATAATTCTTTTCGCATATATTGTAGCAAGAGTTCTTAAAATATAATTTAAAATTGAGCAATATTCTTCTTTTGGTTAAATCTACACTTGAGAAACAAAAATGTGCACTTTTAAAAAACAAGTACTGCCGTTTTGGATTGGTAATCAAAAAGCGCCATTTCGGATGCTAGAAAGGAAAAATAAAGAGGTCCACCAAAGACGCAATCACGACAACGAATGCGCCCTTTCTCAGAAGATTATCTTGCAAGATTGGCAGCCTCTCTTTTCATGGTGATCATGATGAGCAGCTTCCTTTGCTGGCATTTGGCCGTTGAACCGACCCAGCACCGTCCAAATGGCCATCATCACCGCGAGCAGAGGACACAGAGTAAACACATCTCTCCGCTCAGTCTCATTCATGCGCAAAAGTGCTTCCACGTCACTCTGTCATCGTTTTTTTGCACCGAAACTAATTTACTTTCAGCCACTTTTTCAGGAGTTTACTTTTCCTCTCCAAGAAAAATGACTCTCAGAGAACTGTTTCGTTCCATTAGCAGTAAGGAATTTATTTATTAATATACGCATTGCACAGATTTTACGGCGCATATTTGTAAACGACGGCAAGTTCTGGTTTGAATTTCATCACTCTTATCCACCCATATTGAATAAAGAAATTGTTTTGTTTATTCAATCAAGGAAATTCTCTATTGAATTAATTAAGGGAGAGTTGGTATATTCAATAAATTCTCTGCGCACGAAATGCAGCACACACTACAAAACACAATTTGCCTCGTCAAATTTATCTCTGCAGCATATATAGAGGAGAAAGTTTCGAGGGGTAGAAATCAGCATCCCTTCCTGTGACGAGCGGCGCCTCTCTAATTGCCTCATCACAGCCACAAGAGCCTTATCACGCGCGCGCGGCAATAACTTTCAACCGCTAAGAGGCTTCACATTTATTTTACAAAATTAGAGGCACACAAGCCGACATAAATTACTGCAGCAAGTGGAGCCACTCCTAAAGTCGCGCAACTCGTAAAAACCATGTTTTATGCTGCACTTGTCTTTATCTCTGGCCAAGGCCGAATATGGAAATGCGGCCTTATTATTTCCACATTTTTCTCACTTTTTTTCGCGTCGCACGTGCGCTTGAATGCAGAAATTTCATGTTCAGCAAACTGACCAGCGCCTGCAAAAACCGTCCCTTTTCTTTTAGCACAACCATCAGTCACTGTCACACAGTTCGCTTCACATATTTCAGTTCGCAAACTCCCGCCAGTTATGCACAGCTCAAAACCTAATACCAATTCTATGCACGTGCACAGAAATCCAGACGATTTTGTAAAAGAGCTTTTGAGGCAACTTCATTGAAAGAAAAAATTGTAATACAAATTACTCTTGTCATTGTTGTTTCTAGAAATAGAGTTGAAAAGAAAATATCAGACGTGATCAGTCTTGATTTAATGAGAGCTGATGGGAAAACACAGTGTGCGGGGAGGACGTGACTTCTGCCGGGCAAGTATTGTGAAGTTGAGAACGCTTATTGTAGCAAGTCAAGAAGAGCGCAATCAAAGAGCATCACAACTAGGACGAGAATTTCATCGATATTTCAGTATTAATTGAAAGTTTTACCCCCAGATTTCAACGTGCAAAATGATTTGAAAGATGATAGTATTGATAATTATTTTATTAGAACGCCTAAAACGTTAAATTGGAACTTTTTAAAAATTGAATTGGTTGGATTATCTTGTATAAATTTTAAATACAGATGATTATGGTATTTTAATTAATAAAATTTAAATTTATTTCCTTACCTGATAGTAAAGTGGCGCCTGCGAGTCATTCCGCGCCCAGATTACAGGTACAGCGGCCGCCCCAGCGGCCATCACGACACCTCGTGCGGCCGCCCCTGAACCAACAACCAACACAACCGCCACTCGATGACGCTCAACAGCGGCACAAAAATCGATAACTGCACCATCCATGCTCCCATAAGACCTGCAAAAATTATTTATGGAATCTATATTAGTTTTAAATGTGAAAGTATTTGTTATATTAATAAATTGAGATTTCGTTACAAAAACAAATATTTTCTAAAAAAACAAATCAAGTATAGTTTGAGTTTTATGATAAGACTCATGTGGCTTAACAAAGCGTTTGTCAACAATATAGATCACATTATCACATCCATTTTCAACATTATAAACTAGTGCACTCCAATTTTTTAAAACAATTTCTTAATGCAGTGCCAACTATAAATCTACTTTGTGTGTGAAAAAAAAGTATAAATCTACTTGTTTACGTGAGCTTTGGAACTTTTTTAAACACCGAAGCTCTTCGCTCTTATTTCTGAGAGTGAAAAATTGTCATCTCTCTGCACAAATATTTGCACTGGCAGCCTTGTTTGTTTGGTGTCCACGGGTTGCGCTCTCATGTGTCGTTCCCTTGGCAATTGAGGCCCAAAATGGAATTGAAACACTTTGTACGCCATCACTGAGCACCTGCGCTCGGCATGGAAATTTAAAATATTCGGAGAGATAAAACGACTTGCCTGTTATTGTTTTCAGCGTCATCCCCGCCGACCGGCAGCGGAATTAGCACCAAGGTTACATTTGCGTCGCGTAGCACATCCCTGTTGACGGTGGTGAAACTGCGGTTCAGGTTCTTAGCCAGTGTAGGCGACTCACTGGCGTCAAAAGCGGCCGCCACGTTGATCGTCACAGCAGGCACTTCTCCTTTAAAATAAAGTATAATTATTTCACTTCTACTGATTGAATCAATTGTAAAAGTGAAAAATTAGAATATAATTATCGTTTAAAATTAAGGCCTTAATCATTTGATAAAAAAGTTACAAAACAATTATTTACATTTTTCTATCATATTTTGTACCTCATTTCAGGCAAGTTTAAATTCTGGTGTCAAAATAAAATAAATTATTATTTAAAAAATGTGAATTATTAAATTTTAAAAATTTGGATTCTTTCAGAATATTTAAAGACGTTTTCATAAGCATTTAAAGTAAGATCAAGATAATGAAAATTTTGATTTTTTTTTTTAAACTAAAATATGATAACAACAAGAAAGAATTCAGGACTTACCAGGAAGAGAAATTAGTATGGAGGTCGCCAGCAGCAGAGTGGCAAGCATGCCGAGTGACGACCTCATGTGGCGCCTGAGGGCGAATTAGCGAAGGCGTCGCAGGTCTGGTGCTGGCATCAGGGACATGCAAGTCGGGTGCACCCCTCGGCTCGCCTGGAGGCCGGCGGCCACAGCGGGGGCCGCCAAAGCGTCCGTCGCCCACCATGCTGCCGCCATTGCAACCCTGAAAGCAGCCAAAGTTTCCTTTTTTTTAAAGAGAACAAATAAATTAAAAAATGGATGCGCAAGACGAGTTGCGAAAGATTAGTTATGAGACAGGCGCAAGTTGAGATTTATTGGAAAAGTCTGCCTTGCACACACTGATCTGCCCAAAGTTGGAGCGCGGCTAAAAAGAGGTTCGCAACTTATCGTTCGCCTCCCTCGAGCTAAATATTTATCGGCGTCAAAACCATCACGACGTGGTTTACAAAATGCAGGTTTGTGGAAAGTGGGAGTGAGTGGCAAATTATGCAGCGCCATATTCTGAGAGCGCGGAAATTGGGCGGCGGAGCTTCCGAGACACGCGAAATATAATAAATTTTCAGTGCCCTCGTTTTCCCCTTGCACAAGAATTGTTATGCTGCGAGCCAGCATTACACACATCTTTCCTCAGCACCTCTTTCTTTTCCTCTCCAGGGCGCGATAGTGACAAAGAAGTGAGCTGCGTGACGTCATTGGTTTGCTATACCAACGAGAAAAAAATCGCGTAATCCATCACTTCACCCAAGATGGAAGCGTCGTCAATGACAATTACCATTTTCTGGTTGGCTGCTCTTAGCCGTGTAGACGTTCTCTTTAATGGGCGCGTTTTTTTTTTAATTTGCCTCTAATTTTCCAAGTAAGAAACAAAATTTGTCTAAAACAGAGATCAAGAATTTATGCTTTAAAAACATACACAAAAAATGGTTTATAAATAGATTATTAAAATATGCGCGACTTTTGTCAATTTGTCTTGTCTATTAATTTTATTTTTAGTTTAAAATTTCAAATAAATAACATATTATATAAAAATTTAATAAAAATAATTAATATCAGACAAACTTTAATATATCTTAGTGATTTGAATTTAAAATCCGCTTTTCCTCGATGGGTGTTGTGAGCTGTTTACTGTTTCAGAAAAGCAATATCCTGCTCTACATGTCTAAATTTTTCTGACCTAAATTTTTATAAAAATTGATTTTGTTAAAAAGTTTTTTGGAAAGCACATTGTCAAAAAATTTTGTGTTAAAAATTGTTTTTGTGCAAAAATGTAACCTTTAAATAATTTTTTCACGCAAAATTGTTAATTTGAAAGAAAAATATTTTTATACAATTGATTGTTGTACTAATTTTTGTCAAAATAATTTCACAGCTGATGAATTATGGCTGCAGCCCGCAGCCAAAACGTTTAGAGCAGGATATTGTTTTTCTGAAACAATAAACAACTCACAAAAACCCATCGAGGAAAAGCCGATTTTAAATTCAAATCACCATGAATCAACCCTCGATCGTGAAATTCTACAACAAAATTAAATATATCTGCTGGCAATAACAATTACTCTAATTCGTCCAATCTGAGCAGAGAACGTGAGCCTTGGTGCGTATTTTATACGTTTAATATCACGTCTCGCTGCAATTGTTTTTGGTTATTGAGCCGTCGGAGGAAATTATACGGAAGTGTATTTTGGTTGCTGGCTTGAGGCATCTCAAAATATAATATTCTGGCTTCCAGTTTGCTCATACCACTCCCTCGGTCCATGAATATTGTATTCGCAGCAGCCACGGCGGCAACTTTGTGTACGCAAGACCTCGGCTGGCCTCTCTATGTGAGTATACGTTTGGGCCCGTCTGACATAATTAACATACACACACCCTGCTTGCGAGCGAACCATGCAAAGGAGAGATATTGGCTGACAAGGAGCCCGCGGGCCCTTTTTCCGGCTGTTGCGCTTCCTTCTCTTGTACCTTCTGTTAGTCAGATTGTGTTTGGAATACTAAATGAACCCAATGTTTCGAAATCAATAAATCTGAATAGTTTCCTTCATAAAAATTGACCCCTAATTTTTCATGTTTTTTTTTTTACTCTATTCAAATAACTTCAATCGAAAGCTATAACACTTGAGATGGATTTTAAGAAAAGAAAATTTGAAACGGGTAAATGTTGTTGCAAAGAAAACAAGAATAAAAAATAAGAGGGCAACTAACTGACCCTGAAAGGCGACCTGGGGTCCGCTGCGGTCTACTAATGGTACTTTTAAAACCTCGGGTTTCTTATGTCCAATTAAAACTAACAATAAGAGGGAGAAATTTATGAAAAATTAAATTGGAAGTTTTTTTTTTAATTTTTACGTTGCCCGGATTCAATTTTTAAATTATTTTTACTTATTATAATATAATACATAAACTTAAATTCAGCTCCTTGTTCACCCTTTTGAGATTAAAACCCTAATAGTTCTGTACACCAGCTGTTCAACTCATTCTGCTTTGTTTTTAGTATTTTATTATCAGTTAATTATTAAATAAACTAAAGTTAATTTTTTGCTTTGATGTTTAAAAAAAAGGCTGATATAAAAACCGTATATAGACCTAAAAAAAAAAATATAATTCGAAATTTTCAACGTTACTCTGAAACTGCCATTGGGCGTGGTTTCATTTTCATACAAGTATAGCATAACTTGGCAAAACAAGAAGACGATCCCATATAAACAAATTTTCAGGCTATCAAGCGATTTTTTTGTGTCGGCATAACGGTCCGTTACAATTTTCCATCTACAATCTCGTTATTTTCCATTAATGAAATTGATCGCGTACTCAGCCCGAGAGGCAGAAAATGTGAATTTTGCTACCAAAAAGTTTCTTTACATTTCCGCGGAGCGTTTGCAAAACTCCTCTCTCTCTCTCTCGTCGGCTCATTTCTCAGGCTTGCTTTTCTGCTCGCCTCTTGCGGCAAAAGAAAGAATGCGCATTTTTCACTGCCGGTGCGCGGAGAACACCGCACTTTGTGCCTACATCCTAGCCGTGGTTTTTGCCCAGAAATATCGCTGCTTTTTACGCCCCCGCCCTTTCCTCTCGTTCGCGCAAGGAGATACATATATAAAACGTGCAACGTCTTTGTCATTAATTAACCCTCGCCGGAGGAGGATTTGGAGCTGGATGAGAACGTGGCAGATCTCTTTCGCCCGCCACCAAACTGCGCCCACCTCGCCGCTTTTCCTTCCAGTTTCTCCTTCCCCGAGTGATATATATCGCCAGGAAAAGCGTTATATGTATATGTTTTTGTTCCCTCTGTATGTGACAAGAATGCGATTGAAAAACGTGTCGGAATCCAAAGTCATCACCAACAAACGTGAAGAATGTCTTTTTTTGCCCTGGATGAGAGGGGAGCGGGAAAGATGAAATATTTTCTTTTGCAGAATGTCTCTCGCATCCAATCCATGAGTGGATAATCAATCAATCATTCTCACGCTTTGCAAAATTTCGGTGTACGCTTTGGTTACGACCAAGACTAAAATTATTCGAACTGGGGACATATATTATTATTTATAAAATAAAAATCATACTGAACTATTCTCTAATAGCACAGATATCTGAATAGAAACTCTAATTATTCTACATTAAATACTGAAAAATAAATAAATTTTTTATTACTGTAAAGTATTTTCAGATTGAACATCAAAATTAAGGACATCTTATGATAATTTTGGAAATATTTGGAATTTCATAATGCATGTAATCTACTCTAGCATCTATAAATTTAACATAAAATTGAGTAAAAGATATATATATTTTTTTAGTATTTTTATTTGTTTCAGTAATTTATGACATGGTTGAACTTGTTTCGTAATTCATGTTGACCGAAAATTTGTCCCTATATGGCAATGTTCTATTTTCATCAGAAAATTCACAGAATACAAAGCAGGTCTTGCGTATTGCGAGCAGAGGAGACTGACGATAATTATTAAACCCGACCAGACTAGCACAGGCCTGGGAATGACCCACGATTAAAGGAGCACCACCAACTTCTGGCCAGCAGCTGCTGATTGCGAACGCCCTCGGCCCCTTGAATGAAATAATAGCTAGGCTGGCCGGGTCTGGATCCGAAAGGGAGAAAAATATGGAAATTCAGTAAAACAAATTGTGAGTTATAAAAATAAAGGTGCAAACTCGGAGCGCCAGAATAATTACGATTCTAATCCTTCTCGCAAGAATTGTGAGCAGATTTCATGTTTTTTCTTAAATCCTCCCGAGATTACACCGAAGCACAACTTTTCTCTTTTACTTTTTTACATCTCTGCTTTTGCAACTGTGATGAGCCTAAGTAATGAAAATGCAGCATTGTTTATTTTTCTTTTCGCCTCTCATCCAACCATCACAAAAATTTCCGAGTGTCGGCTCATTAACTGTGCAAAGCATGTGCCGGAAAAGGGAAAACATTTTTCGTTTAGCTGAGGGACCAGCTCTGGGCCTGACGTCATCTGGGTTGCCAGTGTGCGACCTCACGTATGCTCTAATTGCTCAAACTTTTGCAGCCAAATAAATACATGGCGAGCGTCCCTGGAAAATCAACAAACTTTCATAATTCTACACGCAGCACCCAAAACTCGCAGTGAGGATCGGTGAATTTTTTGCGAGCGATTGAGAGCGAGTTTTGTTTGAGTTAAGCTCTTGTTTTGGCAATTCCGGCTAACTTTTATTCTCGCCGTGTAAATATCCCGAAGGAAGGTGCAAAATGGTTTATTTCGTAAAATATAGATTTGGATCTGGAGTTGGCTCCAGCAGCAAAACTAATACTTGTTGGCCGCGTGCTATACTATTATTCACCAGTTGAGCACACAAAAAATGAATTTGCTCGCGACGCGTGGCAGCGGATTTTGCAAAGCTGCTTTCCACCGCCGCGTTGATGTGGAAGCGCAGATGAAATAAAAATTCAGAGCGCGATGCAGAGCCAGAGTAAAAGCCTGAGCCAAGCTGGGTGCAAACAAACTCGTCAGATTTCTCGACGCAATCGCTGAGAATACAAAGCGCGGATTAGTTATACAGCGGCAGGTTGCCTGATAACTGCCGCTAGATAATTACTTTCTACCGCGTTTTGCACAATTGTTGCCGGCGGACACGTAAAACACCGGAAGAGAGACGCTCAGAGCAAACAGTGAAAAAGCATCGAAGGCGACAAGAAGCCATGAGAGTTTTACGGCACCCGTTTTA